ATTGATGTATTTTGTAACATCACTAGGAATAGAATGTTTTCGTGTATCATTATCACCTGTTTTATACGTCTTATCTATTATTGTGTACTTATAACTTCCAATCAGTTGCATAATAACCACTCTTACTATAATTTTATTAATCGCTATTCTTATATAAATAGAAAGAATTAAGAATTCTCACTCTTCAAAAATATGATGAAATGATTAGACTGCGAATGTTCATGTCTAGACTGCAAATGTTCATGTATTTATGGGAAACTCAAAAGTGCAAAAATACACATACATATACAGCACGTACTATTTAACTGGAAACGCTCAAATATTTAAAAAAATACGACACGCTTCTAAATGGATATCTTCGTTCCTCATTATATGTTCTTGTAGGTGAATTCAGATATCTTCAAAACATTAGAAATTTATGTCTTCCGCACCGGCTATCAATTATCGATATGAACTTTCAAATTCGTTACCTGATATGTTCCACCGAAACACATAAACACGTTTTTCATAATGCTACTCCTGGTACGCCATTGCCGAAACATAAGACCACAGTTTCTTAGCATTTCTATAACAGTCGGTCAATTCCGAACATTTACTTTTATCTAATTCCTTGCATCGCTCCATCAAACTTGGATGTTTTGTTTGTAAGCAGAAACGGATGGTGCTAAAGGCACAAGAAGCTTTTGTGTTTTCAAGACGTCTATATGTCAGCTACAGTAAAAAAAATGGATATATCCGTTTGAAGGTCATCGGCGCAAAGTGAAATAGATAAAAGCACAATATGCCCTCTCGATACCATACAACTTTTGTCCGAAACACTTTCCTCTATTCTTCGTTTCCTTTCAGGCATTCCAACATTTCCAATTGTACAGAACGTACTGTATTAAATATCCAATGCATAATATTTAGTGCATGTTCAGTAGTTGAGACGGGTCTTTGCTTAGGTTCTATATTTTTAACGTGTATCCATTCGTATATTTATACTTTCCAAAGACATCTGAGAGGGATACGCTACTGAATTATTCTACATATGTAGGAAAGTAAAAAAGCAAGCGAAAGGATAACCAAGGATCCGCGCATCATCGACGCGACGCATTTTGTAGTAGGGTCATTCTTTCTCGAAACTAATCGAACATTTCCAAATAGTATCGGAATGAAATTTATATAAACATACGAAATTTAGAGATCACCATGGCCTTATACACGCGTTTCAACCGTTACGTTACTCGAATGATCTAATAATCAAACGCAATTATGTACCGAAGATTCAGAGGTTAAGACGTCACACGAGCGTTGAAACAACATCCGTTGCGTGATGTCCGTTATAAGAATATATTATCGTACAAATTGAAAACTGCATACTAAGAATGTACATTACTTTTTCCTCGAAATATTTATAGTAGAACGGACGTTGGATTTCGTTGACGCATATTCTGTATTGTATACGCGTGAAGAGGCTGTATAGAAGTTTACAAGACGAGTGTTATATACATATGCATTTTATAGAGAACGGTCTTCCGATGATTCACAAACATTTTTCGATTTGTTTATTCTGAACTATTGTTATTACAAGAAACTTCTTCGTTGCATATTTATACAAATAAATTATCTTACATTTTTCCGCGCGCTTCGAAGTACGCATTAAAAAGAAAAAGATTTTTTATTCGAAGCTATAATGCCATTGTTGGTTATATGCATAATTAACGTGAATTTAATTATTTAAGCTATAGCATCAGATAGAGATGTTGAAATATAAATTACAAGCAAATTTTAAATCTTATAAAAGAACGTTCAACGATGTACTTATGTACTTTTGCACTGTTCGCCCCTCCCCCTCCAAGATGAACTTCTGGATCCGCCATAACGTCCATCGCAACGATCGTATGTAACGCAATTTAAGCATACGTATATTCGCAAAAAACAATGTCCGTTGTGACAGACGTCGTTTCAACGCCCGTGTGGTCCCAGAGACAAAAGACATCAATGCGCGCGCAGATCAGCTCATCGTTTACCGGAGTAACGGATGACCATGTTTTGGTTGAATCGACTATGGTTCAGTAGAGCTATAGCATAGTTAATGAAAATACGGATCGGATGAATTAAGAAACATCATTTACTGAAAGTGATTATTTCCTACAGCATTTTTTAGGTTTCTTAGCAGAAATTACCCCCTTTCCAGAAAGCGTAGTTTGATTAAAATGTAATTCAAAAAAGTGGGAAAATTTTGAAAGCATTTCAGGCTTCTCGTCGAAATAAAGAAAACGTAATTAACCTAACTTTGATATAAATATAATTAACGAATGTTTACAGCATTGTTACAGCAAATTCAAAACAGAAATATTAGTGTAATTTAAACTAGCATAGATTGCAAGTTGGAATGAACTTAAAAGAAGGGAAGATCATGCTCGATTTAAAAATTTCAGAATTTTGATGGATAAAAGATATTCGTGGAAGGAATAAATTAACTATTAATATTCGTACAAATTTTCTTTTTCTTTTTTTATTTTTTCTGAAGCAACTAGGTATATTAGACACATGTTCGAATTCCAAGGAGCATTATATTCACGCATTGCATGATGTTACATACATGTACGCGTGCACGATGGAATATGTATGTATACGTATTCTACTACTATCATACATTATAGCTTTCTCTATCATTTCTTTTATTACGTTTCAAATATAGGGCAATTATACATATTGCATATGAATTGCAAAAGTGTCATAAATGAAAACAAGTCTTCCAGAAAATGCGAAAGATATTTGGAAACATAAAAGAAAATTATTTATTCAACACATAATGCTGGCAAAAAGATAAACTCCAAGAAACGATGATCAAATATCAAATTTTTGTAAGTTTTCATTCGTGCAACCTCCCCTTGACGATTTTTATGTTCTTCTAACACAAGATTGGATTATTTTCAGATACTTTTAAAATACATGTGAAATACATGGTCATCCACTAGAAACACATTAATTAACAATTTAAAATATACAAAGAGTATTATAAACATCAGTTGCAATTATATTATCTGTCTATTCCCATGAAATGGTAATTACTAATTTCTATAATAAACGACTATCGAATTGATCCTATGCAACTCAGTTCTTCGCATTCTGTTATTTAAGTTAACCTACATACATATGTAGGTTTATTTATTTGTTTAAACCTAAGTTTATTTTTTATATTGATCGTTTACATTTTTTTTATGTACGTTACTTAATTTTCTCTAGATAGAAGTTTAAGGATTGATAGATGTATATCGGTAATTTTTAGAACGAGTAATGAACATTTATATAAGTATTTTAATACAGTACAAAGTATTCATATTAAATGTTTCGCCGTGTATTTTTTAATTCTGACAAAACATTTTCTGTGAAACATGATGTACAAAACGGTCGATAACATAAATAATAAAGCTAGAAATTAATAGAGCTAATAATATAGCTATGTATGAGATACGAGACAAATTATATAGTCGATAACATAAATACTTAATAAAGCTGGAAATTAATAGAGCTAATAATATACCTATGTATGAGATGCGAGACAAATTATATAGTTAAAGGAGTTTCAAATTTAAGAAATTTTGTAGGTCTTCATACAAAGAGAATCTAGATCAACTCATTAGCAACAGAAATAATCAAGGCGCGCAGAAGAAAGTGCAAATTACGAGGAACCGACGCCACATTAAGATTTCATAACATAAACTCAAACGTCTCCCAGATAAAAATAGTCCACATGTCCAGCAAACTTTTATAAATTCCAAACTTTGTTAACAGAAACAAGTAATCTATATTAAGCGATTTGCACGAGTGTGTAAATAACCTACGTTTAGGAAAAAAGTAAAATTCCGATCTTTTTTTTTTTGTGATACAAAAATTCGTACGATAAAATTCAATATTTAACACAACATGCGAAAAACTAGAGGGAATTTCAAAGAATTACAATTTTTTAATTAATAAAATATAAAAGGAAGAGATAATAAAAATTTGATGAAAAATTAGGGTAAAAAGAATTTTTTATACGATATGGGAATAATTCATGGATGTTACGTGTTTTAAATCTCTACTCTCGTGTCCACAGTTTCGCGCTATTCTGAGTTCAGCTTTCAGTAACTTGAATATCCATCGGTTATATGAAAAATGTTTTCCTCGAAACTAACGTGTACTAGCATAAAATTTTCGAAATGCAAAAATCTTCATTCAACAAACGCGACGTGACAAAGTCACGGCATGAAATTCTGTATCGTTACATTATCACAATGTTGGAAAAAAGTGCTATTTCCAGGATTTCTTTAGCTGTTTCCCCCTTCAAGAGTTTTCGCAGATACAATGTGTCAACATTGAATGTTAATATTAATGCAAATTCTTAAATTTTAATTCCTTAAACTCTTTAAAAGTGATAAATAGAATGTTTAACTTTTAAATTAGCATTTTTCTAGATCTCATTTAAAAAAGAGATTATATTTACCATAAAAAGTGTGAAAAGAGTAAGAATTTAAAAAAAACAAGTGAAAACTATACAAAGATTAAAATTAATGACTGCAAATATAGTTCCAACAGGAATGCAATGTTATGTTGAAATACAATAAGACTTAATTACTGTAAAAACCCGAAACAACGTAAATATGAAAATTATTATACATATATTTATGTAACTAGAAAATATAAGCTAAAAGGTATTGCGAGATAAGATAAAATATCGAATGAGGTATCACGCCATCCCTACCAAAAATTTTAATACCATACAAACAAACAATCAATCAGACATATCAAGCGAAAATCAAACAGAAACATATGAAAAACAGCTAAATAAATATTTAATAAACGATATGCATCAGATTTGAACTTTCACAACTGATTTTGGATCACTGAAGCTAAAATTCAGGACGGATACTTTTGCACAGGAAGAATGACATAAGCTTCGTAGAAAAGGACAAAATTTTGGAACGAATGGCGAAAAAATTGTAAAAAAGGTAAGAATTAAGAATACATACCATAAAGTGGGCCGAGGAAGTGATGGTTTGAGAACAAGTTGATGGAGGAAGAAGACACAAGGTGGATCACGAAGGATCGTTTATATTACTTTGTTTGTGCACACCAAAAGACAGAGACTCGCACTAATAAGCGGACAATCGCGGCTGCTTGCTTTAAGTAGGCATATTCGTTGAAGACGATGAAACAAGACTGACTTTCAGTGCTAGTAGTTTTGACACACGCTGCCGGCCTAGCGGGATTAAAATGGTAGAATACCGCAAGGCGCCATCTTTAGTAGATGGCACGCAAGCGCTGTTTTTACCACGCTTCTATTCTATATTGTCGATTGTTGGACTGAAACTTGAGAAAATTACTAGACATTGATCCTGGAAATATATATGATGGCTAGACTTTACTTTAGAAGACTAAGAATTACTGTCTAACTATTGACAATCTTGTCATTTTCAACATGTAGAATCTGAAACTGTAAGTTTTAAGATGCGGAATCTATTGACTCAAAAGTTATGAAAATATAAAATTGAATATTTTTAGGGTATTTTCCATGTTACTTTGACGCCAGATTGGCTTCTATCCGTCAAAACGACCAATGAATGGACCGCACAGAGACACAACAATTGATTGGTTCGCACAGATGAGCATTCACACGCTCTTGATTTCCACTTATCTTATTCAAAAATGTACACTGAGGATTTTTACACAATTTTATATTTTTATTAGTGATTTAATGGTTCTTTCACAGAGTATAAAAATACGAAATACGTAACTATTCTTTGTACTTCTAGAAATAATGTTTCAGGAGTAATAAAAGTAATTATATGTATATCCTATTGAAAAGTAGATAAAGTGTGCCCTTCCGGAGTCTTCGCTTACCTCATTGAAAAATAGCTTTATAAAAGCCGCTGAAATTTTTAATACAAAATTAAGTATCTCACAAGTTACAATCCCATCGGAAATCATTCTTTGTCTTATATAAGGCTCCGGAAACTAAATAAGAAAAGAAGAGAATCTTATAGCAAAACAAGAAAAGCAGATTAGTTAAAAACCAGAAATTTCTCATTTAACAAAAATCATTAACATAATTATTAAATTAAGTGTTTTTATATATTTTAATAAATGTTTCATAGACTACTAAAACTAATTATTTAATTTAAAAAATACCTTACCCACAATTTATATTAATTGATATTTTTCGTGCATTGGATTTGTTATTGTCCTTAGAGGTTTTCTTGTACATAATTTTTTCGAATTTCAATATTAAAAATTACCTTTTACTGCGTGATACTTTTCAAACTTCCCTCTACTTGTGCGAGATATAATTTCTGAACAAGGCAAACATGACCGCTAGATGGAGAGACATGACATTGGTTAATAAAGGGACTGTGCAAGAGCACACCTTATCTGCCATTCATTATGGTTCATATACTTTAATAAAAATCTGTATATGAGTTCCTTATCTTGTAATATTCTAGACGTAGGCAATTTATTAAAAAGTACATGTTTCTTGACTTAACCTTATTCGTGATTTGTTTATTTTAAGAAACTTCATAAGTAATTATGAATAGAATGTAGTAAAAGAATTATAAATGATTAAACAAAAATAATTCAATAATATCATAGACAATTTTAACATTTTACAATACAAAAGTTTAGGTAATTTATGAATACATAAAGTATGAAGCGGTTAACTGAAGATAAGACGAAACTTGTTTTGGAAAAATTAACAAAATAGTAAGTTCCGAATAATTTCTTTGTATTGAGATTAAGTAAAATAACTTAATATTAATTTGATATTAATTTAATATTAATTAATATTATTAATATTATTACTTAATATTAATTTAATATTAATTAATTTGAGATTAAGTAAAATAACTTAAAAATAAGTAAAAAGTAATATAAATATAATAAAATAAATGTTAATTTATAATCTCCTTTATAATCTCTTTTAATTTCTTATGCTTTTTCTAGTATTGGGACTAACGTTAAATTATTACTTGACCGACCAGATGGTGTTTATTGTTTTCGAGAAAAGAAAGGCAGAGTATATTACGTTTCTGAAAAGATTTTATCATTAGCAAGTATGGTAAATCCAGAAAAATTGGCAAGTTTTGGAATATGTTTTGGAAAATTTACAAAATCTGGAAAATTTAGGCTTCACATCACTGCTTTACATCAGCTGGCTCCTTATGCACAAGTAATTATGTCATTTTTATTATAATGTTAAATTTCAGTATATTGTTTCTTACTAACATTTTATAGATACAATGATAATGCATCACTGAAATCCATATAGTTTTTACATTCATTACAAGCGTATTATCCACATTGCTCCAAACAAATAAATCAATCATCTAAATTTTTTTCTAAATTAATTTCATCTAAATTATTAATATCAATTCAATTTTAAATTATAATTTATAAACCTGTGTGAATATATATAGGTATTATAATGTCTTCTTCTAGCATAAAATTTGGGTAAAATCATCAGCTGAGCAACAGTTTTTATATGGACATCATATTTCTAAGTCTGGTATAGGTCGAGTTACAGAAAATACTCCTCAGTATCAAGGAGTTGTTATTTTTTCCACAAATGATATTCCACTGGTAACTAAAGTATTTTTACTGTAATTCATTTCTCGAAAAATTTCAATATCTTGTGATTGATCTATATCTCATTAAAAATTTGTAATTGCCAAAATTACTATTTTAGGGTTTTGGTGTCACCGCTAAAAGTACAATGGATTGTAAATATGCAGACCCAATGGCAACAGTATGTTTTCATCAAGCTGATGTAGGAGAATATATTCGGTCAGAAGATTCTTTAATATAACGATGTAGAAAAAATCGTATATTAAATTTTTTTATTAAATAAATTGTTATATCTCAAGATTATAAAAAATAAATACTTTTTTATTAAACATGTTATTTTTTATAATGTCAAGAAAATTACGATTACTATATATATTTAAAAATCAGAAGGAAATTACTACTTTAATATCAGTAGACAACATCGTTTATTAAAGTTACATAAATTTTAATCATAAATGGTTTATTTTATAACCAGCGTACAACATGATAGGTCTTTTTCCCTACTCTAAGTAATGATATATTATTACTTAATATATGTATTCCAGGTACAATGAGTTCTGCTAAATTCGTAATTTTTTGATAATTAATGGAGAAACCTCCAGCTGCTATAATTCTCCTTGCATCATGATCTGTTTTAAAACAGTTTGCTTTCATAGCTAAGTCATAAACACTAATACCTGGTTCAGATAGAAGTTCTACTACAGTAGCACCATCTAATATCTGTACTAGATCATCCGCTTGCATTTTTGCTAAAGAATCAATAGAATTATCATAAAGAACAGCAGATGCCCTCTTTGCTGCAAGTAATCCTTCTTCTGCAACAAAATATGTACAGTTAAACTTGCATAGAAATGAAAATAATTTAATAGTTTTTAATCCCTAGATGGAAAACTTGTTTGATTACCTCCATGAACCAATATTGTAACTTTTTCAGCTAGAATTTTTTGTGCTAGTCTCAGTTCTGGTCTTTTAAAATGCTCTTGTACAATCTGTTTAATATTATATACAGATAAAAATGTGAAGAAATAAAGGAATTTTTCAACAACTGCATCTTCTATTCTAATAAAATACTGATACAGTTGAAAGCTAGAAGATTTTGTAGGTGAGAGCCAAACTACATTGCCTGTAGATTTTCCAAATTTTAGTCCATCTTGGGCTGTGATTAATGGTAGCGTTAAGCCATAAACTTGATTTTTGGTATATTTAGTGATTAAATCATAACCAGATACTATATTTCCCATTTGATCTTGACCTCCAACTTGAAACAAGCAGTTATATTTACTGTGTAAGTAAAGCCAATCATATGCTTGGAAAAGGGGGTAACTGAATTCTGTAAAACTCATTCCAGTTGTGGATTCTAATCTACTTCGCACAGATGAACGACCAAGCATTGTACCCATTCTGAAATACTTTCCAATGTCCTTAATAAATGAAATCAAATTCATATCTTTATACCATTCTATATTGTTTAATATTTTTATGGGAATCAAATGTTGATGGTTTTTACAAAAATATTTTGCATGATTCCTGATAATATTTTTGACATCATTTCTTATACATTCTATGTTTTCCTGGAGTACAAGATGTTCTATTTCAACGCGTTCTGTTTTTCTAAAACTTGGGTCACCGATTGAGCCTGTTGCACCTCCTAACAGGATGATCACTTGATGACCACAACGTTGCCAATGTAAAAGATTTATTAGAACTAACAAATTTCCTATATGCAAACTGTCCGCAGTGGGATCGAATCCAGCGTATATACATTGTGGTGGATTTTTCCATAACTTTTTTATGTTATCACTAAAATTTTATTTTGTTTTTTAAAATTTTATTTGTTTTATATGAAGATTTAAAATAGGTGTTGATGAAACTCACATGAAAATATCAGGAAAAATATCTTCAAAAAATTGTCTGTTTTCGACATCTAATGTATATTTTGCAGAAAAATGACGAGTATTAAAGCACTTGGCGATACAACGTAACCTTAATATGTTATTCATCTTTAATTAACTCTGTCTATATACAAGAATATGTAAAATTTAATTGCAATATGAATAGTCCATATAATTATTCTTTCTTACAACTTTTTTAATTATGAAATTTTTATTTAATCGATGAAATTAAATGTACATTGAGAAACATAACTTTACAATTCATTTCTGGTTTCTAGCTCTGCATCGACAGATGGCAATAGAGTTGCAATATAACATTTTACAGAATGTAGCAGATTTCTAAGTAATCCATCATATATATTTTTATAATTTTTAATAACTTTTTTATACAAACTTATATATTACTATCGATAAAAAAATATATTTATTGCTGCACTAGATTTTCATTTCATTTTTTAAAAGGCAAATATATGAAATTTTTGCTTTTGTTTCTAAACAAGGATAGCAAACAATTGTACACGGAAAAAGAAAGAAGAAATAAGCATTTCCACTTTATCTTCACATTTTATTTATAGGTAAAGAAATTATATTTCAGTATAAAGAGAAAATAATAAACTTAGATATAAATTTACATTTGAGACAAAGAAAAATTATCAAAAAATGTTCAAAGAAATTACACAGTTAAAAGATATTATTTTTTTTCAATAGATCATGATAATTAATATGAATTTATGTTTCCTAGTTTATGCAACTCAAGAGGAGAAGAAGAAATAATTAAAACTTCCTCGTTTCACTTTTATTTGCAATGTAATCATCGGTTCTTGACTAAATTCATTTACTGTACCACTAATCTGTAAGAGAGAACGGAAGTCGATTTTCTAGGTTGCTCGAGACAGAAAATACTACCACCTTTCGTTAACAATAAAAAGTAAAGTAGAGATGAGTGACGTAACGTCTTAGCAAAATAAATAGAACGGAGGAGAATTAGTTCCTGGATGTTCTAAGAAGAGTTTAATTAAAAGGTATTGCCATTATTGTATAAAATCTAGTAGATAGTTCAGTACATAAGAGAAACTCTTTTATTTAATGTTTGAAAATATTATATAATTTATGAAGAAGCTAATGGTGTCTTTCAATGGCTTTGTTGTAATTAGGGATTATTTAAATTTGTAAATAGATTTTCGCTTATAAGATAACTAATTTTACTTATGTTGAAGCAAGCGTTTTACTACAAAGTGTAATGAAAGTTATTGATATACACGTATAATTAATTTAAATTAAAAGAATAAATAATCTTCCAATAATACAATTAATTGTATAATTCTTAAAAATATTTGTTACTTCATTAATTTCGTAATAGTGCGTAACGGTCCCTTTAAAAAGTTAATCTCAGACCAGTGCAACAGCTTTTTATAACGCGTATACGTGTTTCTAATAATGCAGTAGCCAGGTGGTTGCTCTAATGAATGGTGCAGCTCGCTCGGTTTTCCGTGATTTTTCTTCATGCTACGTGACACGCTTAAATAATTATCTAATGAACTCTCGAGCACGAAAATACTTTCTATTGGTTGTTAAAAATAAAAGTTTCGAAATTATTCCTTTTCCCTTCTTTTTGTATATTTCCTAAAATAGGAATGAATTTTGATGCGCTCTTTTTTTTTTTTTAATAATATCGGTTCTTTTGATTTTTTAATAATTAGTTTATAAACTTTTCGTGGGTTAGGTTGAATTTGGAAATACCTGTGTACAAAATTACGCACTATTACATTATTTAAAGAACCTTCGCTTGTATAAAATAATAATAATAATAATAATGTAAACATACTTGCGATTGAAATAAATAACATTTGAAATACAAAAAAAGGGAGTTATTCTGACCTCAAAAGGTTTGACGTATAGTCTGACCTTGATTGCCTCGATTCTACTTTCGATCTTATTTCAGATGTTCATCCTTTCTATTTGCTAATACGAAACCAATAGGCGAATTCGAGTTCGAATATTTTTCCTTCAGCTATACGACATACTATTCGGTAACTTCAATGAAATTGTTAATTTTTAATTTATACGATATATTGTAACCGATTCTGTTATTTTGTAATTTACACAATATCGGAATTTCTTTCACTTTTTTAACCGAGTATAATTACTTAGTTGCTTTTGTTGATCATAGAATTTGTTGATTAGACTTGTTGATTAGTACTTTGATGTCTATCTTGATCTATTACTGTCAAGTGTTTGTTATGGACTTTTGCTGAAAATTGACTACACCTAAAAAACTAAAAATAGGTTTCCTAAGCCTCTTGACCCAATATTTTTGACAGGATGATTCGCCGTGATAGTGAATGAATGGATTTGAGACTATGGAAAAGGATTTATGCTTGTACGGTTTAATAAATGGACGACTGTCTGCGGTGGAAACCGAATTTGTTGCGGCTATGATGGCTCGTTAAGTTGACGTCATGATTTGTTGAGTGATTTGTTGTATTTAGTTGATATAATTGTTCCTTCATTGGAAGGAAAGCGCATTAATAGATCTTCGTTAGTCTGAACTGATTTTTTAATCGTGTTTTAATGAAATGTTTTCAATCAGAGTTTAATTAATTTCTTCTTTTTTCCTGGATTTAATTAATTTTCTTTAGTTTTAGTGTTTACCTCTGACATGTAGTTAATGCATTTGAGTTTCTTAAGTTATAATGGTAAAATTTAAGAGAATTTAGCATTTTATACTGAAGTAATTGGTCCTATTTTTAGAGTATTTGCCTTTCTCCTGTGTCCAAGGGTGTTTAAACATTGTCTGTTTTTGTCACGCCATTCTTTCAGCCAATTCTATTCAATAAGGTATTCGAACTGCCATCCATCATTCTAAACACCTTTAATTACCTCTGACCTGTAGTTAATGTATTTGAGTTTCTTAAGTTATAATGGTAAAATTTAAAAGAATTTAGCATTTTATACTGAAGTAATTGGTCCTATTTTTAGAGTATTTGCCTTTCTCCTGTGTCCAAGGGTGTTTAAACATTGTCTGTTTTTGTCACGCCATTCTTTCAGCCAATTCTATTCAATAAGGTATTCGAACTGCCATCCATCATTCTAAACACCTTTAATTACCTCTGACCTGTAGTTAATGTATTTGAGTTTCTTAAGTTATAATGGTAAAATTTAAAAGAATTTAGCATTTTATACTGAAGTAATTGGTCCTATTTTTAGAGTATTTGCCTTTCTCCTGTGTCCAAGGGTGTTTAAACTTTGTCCGTTTTTGTCACGCCATTCTTTCAGCCAATTCTATACAATAAGGTATTCGAACTGCCATCCATCATTCTAAACACCTTTAATTTCCTTTATAATAGCTTCTAAATAGCAGAAAAATCCCTTTACTGCCTTGGACTTTTCCTGGAATGTTTACCGTATAAGAGAATACCATTTGGCCCGCAAAACGTCGCTGACAAGCCTCATTCCACAAAACTTCCTTTCCAACGCGCTTGCAATGTCTCTCTTTTGTAAGGCGGCTCTAACTCTCTGAGATTCTGCCCTGTTTTCCCATGACTCCGTTTCACATACAGATCTGATAAAAAAAAAAAGTTTTATCCCGTCGAGTGGTCTCGACATCGTTACAATTGCGCTTACTTCTGCGTTTCTGTTTCTCTATGACGTTATTCTTTTATAAATGTTTTTAAGATTTAGGATTTGAACGTTTTCAGGCATCGAGATTTTGGCTCACTGGCTCATGAAAGTATTTGAATACTTACAACATTAACAACCACATATTATTCTTATAGGATGCACGTCCATCCATAAAGTGTGTTAGAAGAAATATCGCTGTTTGGACATAAGTAAACGTGTGGTGAAGATAAACTGCACGGAATCACGGTCAAATAAATCTCCGTACACTGCGAACATAATGAATGCAATTGCAGTTGCGAACGAAGTCACGTACAAAGGTGAAATCTCGAGTCAGTTTCGTTTTAGGAAATAGAAAGAGCGGAAGAAGCTTCCGAGTGTACATAATATTTGTTATAAAGAGGAATGTTAAAACACATTACTTTTACTGCTTTAACTGTAATTTTAGCATCTCTTTAAAAGAAGAGAAGAGGTCGCAATTTACTTAGCCTCTATCGATCAATACTACTTAATTAAGGAAAACTCGCAACACTTGTAAAATTAGCAATTAATAATTTTAATATTTATAACAAAAAATGGAAAAAGTTGTAAGGAAATGGTCTGAACGCAATTCGCAAGAGTTGTTAGAATTTCGATTTACTGCAAATTACCTTTCTAACACACTGTCGCTTTTCATTGTCTTTAAGATTCTACTCCATGTTCCCATGACCGTTTCACATGCATTCTTCGTAGTTGCACTTATTCATGGTTCATCTTTGAAAAAGTTTCACTCTCAAATCCATCGAGCCATAAAACAATCACCAATTATTAAACTCTTTCTTCTTTCCTTATACTTTTCTCTTTTAATTTTCAAATCCATTTGTCGTTTTATGGTTTTGCCATTTCATATTACGTAGGAAATAAAGTAGTGATAATGAAAAAAGAGTGATTATATTGGAGAGAGGGATATGTGTTTCAATTTCTACCATTTGTCACGGTGTACTTCCAACTTTATGTATTATAAAAGAACAAGAAAGAAGAGATTCATTTTATGAGAAAGAGAGATTCTATTTCGCAGTAATCCTATTACTTAACGTATACTTCACCATAAATCACACTGTTCAAAACTCTTACCTTTTAAAATCAAAATGCTTACTGCCATTTCAACCTAAATCGTTCACGAGACAAAAAAGCTTTCTCTTCGTATCGATCTCATTACTTAGTACCTAACTGTATGAAAAACAGTACAGGGTACGAAACACACTATTCAGAATACGATTCTATAAACCAAAATTTCTATTTCAAATTTTAATTTCAATTCCCCACGAATCATTTTCTATCTGCCCTGAAAACGTGAACTAGAATATTCACGAAATCTCAGAACAAACGCGATGTACTAATAATACGATTGAAACCCCAAAAATCACAAATATATAATATACGGTATATTAAAAAATATAATGGCTATGAAAGAAAAAAAAAATAACGAATGACAAAAGAAACAGTTTCCACGCATCGCTTGATGCCCGGCTAAATTTCGATTTGCTGAAAATTCCCTTTCTAATGCACTGTCGCTTTTTACTCGCTTTGGGATTCTACTCCATGTTCCCATGGACGTTCCGCATTTCGATCGGGACGAAAGAATCTACGAACCTTTCTACCTTCGAGCGTTTCGTACTCTTAGTGGGACGTCCGGCGTTGACTGGTCCACACGTATATAACGCAACGACACGTGCTTACACCAATACATACAGGCATATACACAACGGGCTTCTCCTTTTCCCATTCACCAGACTTACGCGGTTGGTTACGTGCTCGGTCGTTGTTACTCTTCATGATGTCTGTTTGCGATGTCCCATCCTGAAGCCAGCGATTAAAATCGTCCGCTCTTCCTAGCGATTCCTCATTGCCAGCGGTTCTCATGCGAGGACATTCTCACGCTTCAGTTCCCTTCACGTGTCTTCATGATGATGATGTCTTCATCATGTTCATGATGATGTTTCATGTCGCTTGACGTCGTTTGACATAGTTCGACATTGTTTTGATATGGACAGTTACTCGCATTAATATTGAAACACAGCACTATCTCTCTGTACAAAAGGAGTCTTTATCCGAACTGCGTTTATTCTGTTGCTGGTTGAATTCATTTGTCCGAACGTGAGCTCCTATTGTGCGAACAAAAGATAATAGGTAATGAGGAAAATTGCTGAGCTACTATTATATGAATTTCAATTGTATAAACTATTTGTCACCCCAACAAATGGATGGTTTAGATATCGTCCCTCTTATGCCAGTATCAGGAATCTGCAATTAGATAGGTTATAGGAATTTCAATTGAATGTAAAATTATCGGTTGGTTCTGAAGATAACGAATCAAGTTTATAGTCTATGTTCGTTATAACACTCACCTTTTTAGTCCATATAGATAAGAACAAGAAGGAGATAATCAATCTGTTTCTACAATGAAAATAGCTTTTGGAATAAAAGGGACGACATATCATGTTGCTTATTTTAAGAGAATATGAATCATTGTCGTAGCTTGAAAATACGAGTAATTGTATCATAGTCACCTTAGGATCCAACGATATCGGCTGAGAATTAAAACGATGGTTTCTTCGCTGCTTACTACGAGTTATAATGAACACCACGTTTTTGTTTGATGATCCACGAAATATAAAAAGGCAATGATGGCTCTGGTCACATCGGTTCGCAGGAGAAAAGACGAAGTACCGCGCGTATCTCCACATTACGAAACTGAAAGTCTTTCCACTTCCTGCAGGGAAGCCCCGTCCTCGAACGGAGAAAGGGAACCTCGAAAATGAATTTGACCCAAATCATTTTTTTTTCATGAGTACGCAAACACGATACTTTCTTTTTTCTTTTATGACCGTCTCCCAGCCACTGTGTTCGATTATCGAATCTCGAATCTCGATACATGCCTTCTTCGATTACAGTCGTTCGATTACCTTCGTTTCCTTTTTCCTTGGACTTTCTTCCATTATATTCCACTCATCTCATTTAGGTTGTACTTTTTCTAAACATCATATTTTCCACCATCTCTCTGTCAAACGCGCGCTATAAGAAACAAAGTATCTCTAAGGAACCTCAAAATATCCTCATCATGAAAGAGACAGAACAGTAGAATAAGATAGATTAGGTTATTAGGTTAGGATAGATTAGGATACGTATTTTTATCATAAGAGCTAGAGAAATAAGTGTTATAGCGTTGAAAAGAGAAATAGCATCGTTGTATTAGGTAGAGATTACATGCGGTTGTCATTCAAAGCCGAAATGCAAAGATTAAATAAAATAAGTAAAGATGAAAGGAACACTGAATGGATACCTCTAACTCGCGTAAGAGTTGAGTTTTGGTTGACCGAAAGGACGCAGTAGATTATGCAGGGAATGCAGATCGTCCTTATTGTGCTTGCCCTTCGTAAAAGATAGCAGCGGCCTAAATAGAATATTAGAATCCATTATATTTATATTTATATATATATATCTATTGTATATATATATTGTAATATTATAATTTGTATATATATATATATATATAGTAATATATATATATATAATAATAATAATATATATAAATAATATATATATATATATATTACTGGCCAATGACATGAAATAAACGGAGATTCACATTTCCATGTACTCGCTAACGTAAGAAGCCTAAAAATAGTCTGATAATTTAAAAAATGGAAAAATCCGCGATCACGTTTCCATTACGTAAATTCGTATTCTCTATATTGAAACGCTGAGCAGGAGTCATACTCGCAGGCATTAGGTGAGTTTAGAAAGTGCCAATCCTCTTGCCGGCCAAAAAACCCATCACCTCGCGCTGACACGTTCGTCACCCGTGAATGCAGAATTTTTAAAAGGGACAAAGATTCAAGGATGATCGATCTTCGATTAAAAAAGGGTTAACAACGAGTACCGAGGGAGTCAAGTTCGTAGTGTATAAGGAAAAGAGCTGCGGCAAGATCGGCGACAGCGGAGAAAGAGGGAAAGAGAGAAAGAGATTCGCCAGACAGTCTCATCAGCATAGGTGATGGGTCGAGATACGAGTGGGGCCAGGGCTGGTATAAAAGGGGAACCGTAGCATCTGTGGAGCATCAGTCCTCAAATCCAAGGAACAGCAGCAACCATGAGGGCATTCATGGTGAGTTGAATTTCTTTCGTCTACTCGCTGACCCTTTTCGATCGACATCCTCTTCCTGACCAGTGGAGCTAGTGTCCTGTGACGTTCTAGACAGTGTCCATTTACCATTGCCGGATTATTGTCCATTTATTTCACGTCTTCCTTCTTTTCGCTAATCTTTTGTTTCCTTCTTCTTTGATTTTTTTTTATTATAGTGCATTTATTCTATTTACGTTGGATTCCGTCGTTCCTTTTTCCCTTGAATTTTCTTTGAAATTTCCTATTAGGATTCTGGCCAAGTGGAGGGTTGAGAATCACAGTAGTATAAGTCGACCCATCGCTACTTTTCTTGCCAGATCTACCTATATTGTTATTAAAAAGATTCATTATAGTTTTCCGAGTCATGAAAACCTGTGGCGGTAAAAAATAAGATTACAACTTAGCCAGTTATGGAACTTAAGTACCAAGGTACAAACAAACTGTGCTTTTGAGAATCGAAATACATGACTGAACTGGAATTGTCAAAATCTTGAATTACACGAAGAATTTAGATATTAGAAGTAACGACGAAAGAGACAGAAAGAAAAGGGAAACGGGAATTTGTGGGGAGCATAGAAAGGGAGAGGGTATGAGAGAAAGTAGAGGAGAGTAGGGATTCTGCCGATCCAGAAGACAATACAGATGCAATTGCGTTCGATGTCAATGCATTTGATGATCATATTAAAATGCATAATTATAAAAGCACGAGGAAAACTTGTTAATCCCATGTAATCCCATGTATTCCTCGTTCCATTTCCTTTAACTAACGTTTCATTGATTACATTCCTATAATCCCTTTCTTCGCCCGTTGTTTTCATTAAAATCACCACTCTAACCATATTACTCTCTCTGTTCCTAGATCGTGATGCTCGCCGCTTCGGCGATGGCGCGGCCAGAAGCAGGTTATTCTTACTCTCAGCCTAGCTCCAGTTACGGAGCACCGGGAGGTGGAACCACCGGAATAGGTGGTGGACTCGGTGGAGGGCATGGAGGAGGACTTGGCGGAGGACTCGGCGGAGGACTTGGCGGAGGACTCGGCG